GTTGATTTTACTCAATCCAGAAACTCACCAGATCTTTGTGGCTTTCCTCATGGTTACAAGATGGATGTTTATGTAACAGCTTGTTTCCAAAGAAAGCATTAACATGGTCCATTCAGTAGCTTAAAGCAGCAGTCTTAATTAAGTAGAGAACTAAACTCAATGAATACAGTCAAAATCATTTAGGCTATACAGTTCTTCAACTCCATGACTGTTAAAGTTCTAAAAGAACTACTTGATTCCAATATACTGTAATCTCTATTAATAGTTTAATCCAATTTTCCCCCTGATCATTTGATATTGTCATTTTCCGAACTAGCGGAGGGGGGCAGTTTTGGCTAAGTATCTGTATTTAGCCGCCATAACCGTCATAATTATATCACACTTATTTATGGCTGGAGGCATTTCTGAATAATGATTAGCAGCACTTATGAGTGTGGTGGCAACAGACATATTCTTCTGTATAATTTTGTATTTATTATGAATACTTGTATCCAGCTCTGCCAACCCAGTTTCAAAATTGTACTTTAAAAATCCCTGTAAAACAACACAAACACAACACTGGTTGTGCAGTTTGGGAGTTGTTGGACAAAGCGTTGCTTCTGGGTCTAGAAATGAAAATTTTATTTATTTATTCTTTGGCCTTTGTCCATTCTAGAATGTTATTAGATGCAACATGGAAAGGAAACAAAAAGTTCACAGCCGCTTCACAGAAATCTTGGATTAATTATTCTGCTAAATGCTGCAGGCGTGCAAGGCCTTTATGGAAATCATTTACAAAACCTATTAGAGGCACTTGAGAGAATTTAAAGTTAGGAATTAATAACTGGTGCAGAAGACTGAATAAATGGTAGTTTCTTCAAAAGTTCTTCAAGATGAGAAACAAACAGGATATGATATTCCATGTTGCACAATATGGAGCCACAAGCCATTTTTCAACATCTATTTGCTGCACTTTTGGAGCATTTGTATGACATAAGTAAGTCCCTGCTCAGCGTGTGACCAGAATACACAAAAAAAATGCAGAAAATGCTATGGGATTGGGACAGGCTGAGTCACGTTTTTTTTCCCTTTTACCAGACGACATAAACAAAAATCCAAATCAGCCTGAAACTTTTCCGCCTCCATCTGTAGTTTTTTTCCCCTCCACCACTAGGGCTTCTGCTATTTTTGGCATTAGAGTCTCACCAGTTCAAGAAGTGCGACCATTTGAACCGATACAGAAAAATGTAATGCTGGTGATTGGTTCAATGGTGCAGGGGCTGGAGAGAGGCAAAGAAAGTGGAAGTGAATGGGAAATTGTTTCTTTTTACTGGCAGAGTTGTGGAGAGATGTTGATAGTGTGTTTTGAAAGTTCTTTTTTAAAAAGCCAGACAGAATTAGGGATCATGGAGAGAAGGGCCATAAAAATATTTGCTGATAATTTTTCTTTTTCTTTTAAACAGCTTGGTGCTGGCACTCATGTACTAGCGCACCTAGACAGAAAAAAAGAAAGAGAGAACGAAAGAAGGAAATTGCTATTGTGTCTTGTTTACACCTTATTCAGTAACTTTCCTATACCTTCTGCTCCTACAGGGCTACAGGAGATGTATGCTAGCAAGCTGAAAAGAAGGCTGTTTAGCCAATCTTTTCCTCATTCTGTTAACATGAACAGACTCAGAGAAACCCAAATTCCCTACAGCAATTTCACAGTGAATGAATTCACATTTTTCTTGCACCTGAAATTCTGTGAAACTGTCCACATCCATATTTTCTTGTTCTGGCTGATTTTGATTAATTGGGCTAAGAAAGTAAAGAATAATTTTGGTATAGTATTAATAGTATCTAATGCATTATAGATTTTTGCCTGTGTTAATCTTCCATGTACTGGTGATCAAACCAGATACAAAACAAATCCATTGATAATACACTGGCCGGCTGGCAGTCGATTCAAATTCACCAAGGTGGAGGCAGTACTGTATTCCAGATGCTCAGAGCAGTTGAGTTTTGTTTTGCTAATCTTTTCAGCCCAACTAAACGAAAATTGAATCATGGTGGAGACTGGAAACTGAGTAATCAGAATGTTCAGAATATTGAGTCTCCCAAGATTTTCAGTGTGATGTGAAATGCATTATTCAGTAGGCGAGAATGTCTACCATGTGTTAAGCTCTGGTTCAGGATGTATGTACTTCTCATATTTTCCCAAGATTTTTCTTCCCTGCACAGGGCCAGCTGGATTTCATCTATTTGAAGTCACCTTCAAAAAGGTCACTTTGACAACTGTCCTTCTGCCCACAAATGTCAAGCCTGTGTTGTGTTTCTCATTAAAGGTCACAAGGAAAACTTTCAAAGTGGAAGAGGTTGAAACTGTTCCTCATTAGTTATTTAAAATGCTTTAAACATTTAAATCACACTGAGTGTCTAAAAATGAGAAGCAACACATCATTTCCAATGTTTACTAATTCATAAACAGGAGGAAGGGAGAAATGCTATGTCTCTGTGGGCACAATGCAAATTACTCTTGATGGGCAAATAAATAACATCTGGTTGTTCACATTCTGAACATTTTACCAATGGTTAAGAAATGAGAACCAAGAACAAAACAAAACAAAAAAATAGGCTTAGAGAAATGTGCAGTTTACAGAACTGGAACAGAAGGAAATTTATTCACTGTCTATCTTACAACAGCAGTACAGTATTTTACAGTTAGGTTCAGTTGAAGATTTCTTTTATGTTCTACTTTAATACATCATCTAAAGTCTAATCCAAACACAACTAACAAGCTTTAAAATATTGTCTGTAAAATTCTTTCCTACACAAAATATTGAACTCTCTAAAAATAAACAATTGAGCAGGGCTTTAAAAGCATATGTGCCTTAGGCCCAAAATGTCCATTTCACAGCATTGTTCATCATTACATAGTGCAGAAGTAATTTTTCCCCAGAGACTATATACGCACATATGCTTGCCTTAATTACACCATAGCATTGCCTTTAATGGGGGGAAAATCATATGCCTCATCCATTTGGACTGGAGATATCAGTGTGTTTTTCCTGACATAATACTTCAAGATTCCTCTAAGGTTTCTTGCTGAGGAGAAACAACTGAGGAAAGCTGAGGGAAACACAGCTGGTTACATTTCTTGCTGGTCACTTAGATTCAGTGACATTCAGTGTTTGGGCAATAATTGTGTCTTATTACACATTGTAACACCAACACTAATATGGGAGGAATGTAATAGTTACTATTTATGCAATGTCCCTAAAGCATTGCTTTTTAAGAGTCATACATGGACTACATTAACTGTAATGTGAGAGGATAAGTAATCGTACAATGGAGCACAATGTTCCCACAAAATCTTGTTTTGAAAGTCTCCCAAAAGCCCCAGAGCTGATTTGGCAAGACTAAGGGGCTGCAGGAGGGGGAATCTGTTCTTCTAGAAGTGTCTGTTCTTCTGCAAGACAGGCAACATGGGAATACAATCATTGCCATTTGAAACAAGATTTAGCCTAATCATTTTGAGGGAAATTTGGAAGTCTTTGGTGAGATAAGCACTGAGGAGAAAAAAGGATTCTGTAAATCTAGTAAGGAGAAAAAATTGAAATTATAAAGGACATACAAGAAGCAAATGGAGAAGGTGACAGAAATAGGATTAGAATTCTGAATGATGCTTTTCAGTGACTGTCATGTCACTAAGAACTACTACTACAACCAATGCAAAGAACGACAAAAGGGGAAAAGAAAAAATATCTTACAGAAGATCCAAGAAATCAAAGGGAAATTCAAGCTTGGATTAAGATTGCTGAATGGCCAACAGGTGAAATGAAAAGACACAACATAGTTGTTAAAGCTGGAAGGATAGTATAAAAACCTTAACTCTAGCGTTTACTGTTATCTAGTGTACCTCCGAACACGGGCAAAAAAGTGGAGGAGGGTTCCCATGAAAATAAATGGTCAGTTTTTTCATGTCTTTAAAAATAATTTTAAAGTATATCTTCTTCTTCTTCTTCTTCTTCTTCTTCTTCTTCTTCTTCTTCTTCTTCTTCAAGATGATGATCACCTTTTCGGGATAACAAATATAACAAGAATGGAACTGGTCTGACTAATTCTCTTATATGTCCCCATAGGCTGGTAAACCAAGGCAAAAAAAAAAAATCAAAACAAATTGTCTGTGTATTAATTCAGAGAAACTTTCTTCCCCTGCTCCCATCAATGAAATTAAAGCTGTTTTAAGAGCTTTGGCTGCAGTCCTGCACACGGTTGGGCTGATGAAATCCCATTGATCTCAAAGGAAAGGTCAGAGCAATCCTGAGGAAGGCTATTAGAAAAGAGAATCCATGGTGGTAACCAAAGCAAATACACAATCTGTCATCTCACTGCAGTCAGGGCATGATGTTCGGGTGACTTTAACATAGTTCCCTTAACTTCCCATCTCTTACTTTGGCATGGGGAGAAAATGTCCTCAGTAGGCCAATTTCAGGGCCAAATCAGGGAATAGCGTAGTGAAGCAAGGGCTTGTAGGTTTGAAGGGTTGGGATTAATTAACAAGGATGGAAACATCATCTGCAATACCACCCAGGTATACTTTTGCCCTCTGAGTATAATTACAAACCTCAACAGTCCAGAGAAGGAGGGCTGGAATTATATTTCCCAGCTACAACACAGTATTATAAGCCGTCACATTTGGGGGGGTAGCCTGAGCTTGAATAGGTAACTAAAACTCATTAGCTTTACAAAAGATCTGTTCCTGGTAAACTCTGCTAGAACTGATTATGCTGCTTTCATTTTTGGACTCTTCGTGATGCTATTACAGCAGTGACTGTCATGAGGGAGACCCATGTACAACTAGTATGGAAAGGAGGGGGGAGGCTTAGAATGTTGTGGATTCATAGCCTCCCCTAACATTTCTGGTTCTACTACAGGTTAGTCCCATTTCTAGTTCTGCTGCAGTTTGGGCAGCACTGGAGGTACGGCAACAGCAGTAAAGTTCTGCTTCAACCACACACACGTCGCTCTCTACAGCCAGAGAGGAAGGTCCACACCATCACCTCCCCCTCCCCCAAAGAGACAGGGTCAATCTCCTAGGAAGCAGCTTCCTCACAGTTTGTAGGATTGAAACCTTTGGTTCTTCATATTTTAAATGTTGTCATGAACACATTGATGTTTTCCACCATAATATCCATATCCTTAATATTGATTTCGTTATTTCATTTTGTTCAAACGAATTTTGAATGATTGGTTTTAACTCAGAAGACCCACTATATTCAGTCCTGACTTCTGAATTCAACTCATCTTGGTTTTCATCTCTTTAGTTGCTCACCCCATCTTCTTCTCTTTTTCTGTATGCTTTGTTTAGCATTTGTATCTCTTCTTGATAACCTTCTTTCTCCATATGTTGTTTTTTACTGTTCTGCCTGTGAGCTTCCACAGTATCAGGAATGGATATGTTGATATCACTGTCAGGATTGTGTGATGGTATGAAAAGTGAATAGGAAGCTGTTTCCCCTAAATCACACGAGACAAATCTGTTTTCTTTCCGGGAGTAACGCAGTGATGGAGACCTGACTTGGGTAGATGACTGGCTGATATTACTGATGATTGATACAGTGTCCATGGCTTCTTCATTATCACAAATTTCGAGCACCTCTAAATGAATTTTCACACTTGTGTCAGCAAATGTGGTTGGAGAATCTTCAGGGTTTGGCTCGTGACCTACACTCTTGGAACGATAGACTTCAATTTTCTTTGATGTGGGTGTAATTTTCTGCCCTTCTGTGCTTACCTCATACGTTGACAAAGAGAGAGTTTTTCCTGTGGGTGCATGAAGAGATACAGTCCCTTGAAATGCACATAAAGGAATAGCTAAGGCACCGCCTGAACGCTGGAAAGAAAGAAAATTGGTATTATTTCATGTTGCTTCCATAAGTCAAGAATCCATTGTCAACAAGCCAATTATTTCACACACATTATTTTCATTGCTGTACACAGAATACTCCCTTGGATGCTTGAATTTAATCAAAAAGTATAAAAATACATGTTATACATACACACGTAGACACTCTCTTATACACAGTCATAGTTCTTTTTTGTTGAACTATAACAGCAACCCCCTTCATGGATTGCTGCCTTGTCATGGCAAAGTGGCTTGAATAATTCAGAGAAATTATGGGCTATGCCGTGCAGGGACACCCAAGATGGACAGGTCATAGTAGAAAGTTCTGACTAAACGTGATCCACCTGGAGCAGGAGCTGGCCAGCCACTCCAGTATCTTTGCCAAGAAAACTCCATGGACATAAACAAAAGGCTAAAAGATATGACTCTGGAAGATGAGCCCCTCAGGTCGGAAAGCGTCCAACATGTTACTGAGGAAGAGCGGAGGACAAATACAAATAGCTCCAGAGCTAATGAAATTGTAGTTTTGAAAACTCAGCAGTGGCCAGAGGATT